GTTTCATTTATTTGATAAAGCTTCATTTGGTGTGATTTAAAATCTCCCCCTCATCAGGCTCGGCTCCCCTAAAGCACAGCCTCAGCGCCACGCCAAAATGCCTCATCAGCTGAAAACACACACAGCCTCCCGCGCGGGTGTGGGCATGGATGTGTGTCTGTGTGTGTGTACAATGCAAGCTGGTACTCATTTTTCACTAGATGACTGAGACGGAGGAATTTAAATAGGTGTGGGCAGTTTTATGGAGGTTTGGGGTCATGGTGTGTGGACAGATGAAGAATTTTGAGCAGGTTAATAGTTTATTGTCTACATGGACAAATTTCTTTACTACAGTGGGTACATGCATCCATCACGTAGCTGTGAAGGTTCCTTTTCAAAAGCATAATGCAAGTTTGTGTATGTAAAAAAGTAACTGTGACCAGAATGCATGTATCGCCAACTTTTTGTGGAGTCAGCCACCATGACCTACAGTGACAGAGTGTAACAAATGTCAGGGAAATACGGTTTTTGTTTTTTGAGTGTGAAAAAGAAAAATATCAGCTGATTTATCAGAGTATCACACTTTTAACCTTCTTATAAATTAAAAGAAAATACAAAAGATGTTTTAATTTGTGTTATTTTTGCCACATGCAGCAAAAAGTGACATTGATAATGCAGCGGTCTAAAAAACTCACAAAATCTGTTTCAAATACAATACATTTGGTATTACAGAGTTAAAAATCCTGTTATTGTCAGCCTTTAAATTAACCAGACTAAATGAACTGGTTAGTGGTCTTTGGGTGTAAAACATATGCCATAAAATGACTAATGTGATATTTATCTCATTAGGGCCCAGTTGTCAGGTTGAGTGAAGGAATTTAAAATGACTTAAAACTTTGCATTAAATTATAATGTCAATAAAACTGGGAGATACTTTTCCATAATTTAGTTTAATTTAGTTTCCATAATGTAAATGTCTCATCAAATTGTCTACAGTGTTTTGTGCACATCAACTTAAACATAGTCGTAGGTCATCAGGGTATATTACTGGCTGTACAAGTGTATTTAGAAATGTGTGTTTGGGGGATAGTTTCCTTTAAGAAGTTCAACGATTCTTTAGAGGTTAACAATCTGCTCATTCTTATTTTGAAAGACCTGCAGGTGAGATAGTCCAGACCACTTCCTGTCTGATGTTTTCCTACCAGCACACTTACCATGGCTGGGCTGTTGATTTCATGGCCCTTAGCATCATTAACCTTACACTTACAATTTCTTTTTAACTTTTCATTGAATTTATTTATGACATTGTTATTATATGATTTTTGTTCTAATGTAGCAAAGAGATGGCTATTGTAAACTTCATTGATTACTTCTATGTGATTGTTTTCTGCCAACTTATTTCATATAGTTTTTTATTTATTATGTAATTTGTTTGTTTGATAATTGAAGCGACTCACTGACGATAATACAACTGCTCAATCTATGGCTCTTTTTTTAAAATGACTTAAATTATTAATGAACTATCCAAATTGTTGCCTTCTTTCTGCAAATTGACTGCAGTACCTGCCAGTCCTCTTTGTGTCTGTTGTCTAACAGTTTGCTGAGAGCTTTTACTGTACAAAAGTCCAAGCTTCACTGCCTAAGAGTGCTACAGTAGTAGCAGCTTTTGTTATACCCACACTGCAATTGCATTGTGAGTATAGTAAAAGCTCCTACTGTAGTAGCAGTATTAGGGAATAATGCATACTATAGTACAGCAGCAGGACAACATGATATATTCAGATTGTGTAGGTTTAGAAATGCTAAAGAAACCTTTTTTGCAATAACTGTGTGTGTGTGCGTGTGAGTGTGTGGATGTGCACGCGCGGTCAGTGTATTTGGCAGGGTAGAGCTTGTTTGTGGCCATCAGAAAGCCATTTTAATTAACAAGAGAGGAGCACACACACTTATTTTTGCAGTGCTCACCAATAATACCCTTGCCAGAAATTTCAGCTCCTTAATTGCTTCCGATTCACCTCTTTTTTTTTTTCTCAAAAGATGAATAGAGTGATGTGTCAGACGAAAGAGGTAAAGTAAGACAAAAAGAAGGAATGGTCACATTTGGAGGAGACTAAGGAAAGAAGGAAATGGAAAGAGAAACATTGAGGATAAAATGAAAAACACACAGAAAGAAATAAAGATCTGAAGGAATGGGAGGAAATGAAAGAGAAAGACACACACACACACAGGCAGAGTGTTACCTCCTGCTTTCAGCAGGTTGTTAGGCCAGCAGAGTGTCTGTCTGCTGAATAATAGATGGTGTGGCAGGCTAGCATGTAGTCATCAAGCACATACACATGCACTCTCTGCACTGCGGCCTGAATTAGATTATTCAAATGAAATACATTTTAAGGTTATCCTAAAAGTGAAGGAATAACTTAAATATGAAGTAACCATGTAAAAACACTTACACACTGTGAAGTGCTGTAAATCCTGCACTTAGATCAACAAAAAGCTCTTTCTACAGATATGGAACCAGTTCTGTCTTCAGCACCTTTAATAACCAGAGTAGTCATTTGAGTGGTTAGGACATCATGGCAGACAGAATCTGTGGGTACATCTGGACATCGTCTGGTTTTAACATCACGCTCCAACTCTGCGACTCTTTTTTGCTTTTTTGCTTCAACACCTGTGAGCAGAACTGTTTCTGCATTAGATACTGGCCTCTCCTTTGTGATATAGTGGCAAAAGTGGTCTCTCACATGGCGCACCAAGCACAGCACAGAAACGCAGAGTGTAAGCGTAGTGTTCCGTTGACAGGGGAGCGAAATGTTGCAAAGCAGCAGGATACCATCCATACATTTTGGATAAGGTAAAGTTAAATGAAAAGTGGCTAAACCTATTTAACAAGTGTCTAGGTTTGTGACAGTTGAAAGGATGATTGGTACTGAGATGGTTTATACTGCCACACACACAAAAAAAATCTTTGGTGGAAGAATCTGAAGTCATCTCTACATTCTCCATCTGTCTTTCCAGTAGCGCTGCAATTCTCCGCTGTAATTTGGCCAGTGGACTATTATTAAATTGACTACTCATAGGATGGTTTTCATGTAGAAGAGAGAGATTTGTGGACTATTGCTGGTGATATTATTTTGATTTTTGCATCATATAATTAGAACTATGACCAAGAAGAATGCAGCTCCTCTACTGCTCAATAGTGCTCCCGGAGGCTAATAATATAATAGGTGTGAACCCCTTAAAGAGCCATAGTGGGTGTTTTGTCTTTGACCAATATAGCTTTATTTAAATTACAGCCAGGATACCAGTTCATCATGTATACTACCTACCACTACTACCACAGCTACCCAGTGGCTAAATAACGGAACATCTGGACAAAGCACTTTTTCACCAGTAATAAGATTCAACTTTGGAAATTGTAGTCTGCCTCTTACCACTGCACCTTTCACAAGTATAGGTGTGTGTGTTGTGTCAGCCAGCCAGCATGTGCCATGGAGTTCAGTGCCGTCTTGTTAGTGTGTACTCCGTAGACCGACCTGTCTCATCCTCTCACGTCAGCCGTTCGCCTCTTATCCTTCACACACACACACACTCGCACACTGATGCACAGAGGCTGTCCTGCAGGCCATAGTGTCAGTGTCAATGTTGCATCTGGTAAACACGACAATGGGCGCATACTAGCGCGCGCACAGAGAGACAGACACACACATGCAAGCTAACAGGATAATGACTGGACAATTAGGCACAGGCTTGATCTGTCTAGATGTATCCGGTCATCTTAGCCCCTCCAGCAGCCATTACTCAGGCATGGACACACACACAAAGCGCAACACATTCAAACACACTTGACTGGATGGAGCACTGTGAAAAGCTGGCTGCCCCACCAGGCAACCTTTGTGAGTCAGGCTGTGTGTCTGTGTGTTGTGGTGGGAGTTGGAATTTAACTCTCATGTACTGCTGCAATAAAGTGACCGTTTTTCGGTTTGAATTTCATAATGTCAGTCACTGTTTCTCTGGCGTTTTCTTCTGCAGAAACAAAACTGTGCAACGTGGTGTGCTGACAAAGCAAATCAATCTTCCCTCGGGCTTTATTGGTTTTCTCTTTCGGCAAACTGATGGGTCTGAGTTTGAAAATGGAATATCGAGAATCGTACACGGAAGTACTGCAGTATTCTTGAGGCATACGCAATATTATTTGGCTTTTTTGTTGTTGTTGTCTCGCGTTCATTGCTGTTCGGTAAAATTAAAGGTTGTTGAAGGTAAAGTTCATGGTGGTGGCACTAGGGTTGTCTTGTTTAAATAAAGTTTAAGTACAATAAATAATATAATAACAGCGTAATGTGCTGCAGTGGCACCTATAAAGACATGGTAAAATCAACATTAACTGAAGTTCATGTCCAGTTAAGTGTATTTACAAAGACGGTAAACAAGCAGATGAGTCACACGGTGCTTTACAGAAATGCTAACAGACATAAAAATGGACACAAACAAAGGGGGAAAAGCTACAGTGAAGAAAAGCCCTGCCTTCTATACGATATGTAGCAAAATTCCTATGTATTTGTACTTTATTTATCATAATGTTTTAAACTGTTTTGAGCACCATCTCCCCTTTTATTGTCATTGCTGTTCTTGTTATTAGTCTTTATTTATTATTTGAACTATTGCTCCAATCTTTATATTTATTTCTAAATGTTCTTAAATACTACATCTTCTGTTGTAGTATTTAAGAACATTGCAGGACCAAAGAATTCTACTTGTTTTACTTGTTCCAATAAAGCACTGAGATTTGCAGATTTACATTTCCTTGGCTGTGTGACATTACAAAGAATAGTGAATATGTAAACAGACATTCAGAGCAACAGAAAGAAAAATGTCACCTGGTAGGCTGGACTTCTTTTCAAATCCATCGTAAAAATGTTTGCAAGTGTCGGTGGCTGGATCTTTGTGGTGTGAATGGCTGCAGTGTTGTGTACTGTATATGAGGTGCTTCTTCCTGGTGCTATTGGCTTTAACCCCAGCTGTACTCCATTTGAATGGATGATTCTCACCACCATCATTGCAAACTGCATCGTCCTGGCTCTGGAACAGCACCTTCCCGATGGAGACAAGACGCCTCTGTCCGAACGACTGGTAACACACATTTTACACACACACACACACATACACACACATTTAAATGTGGTTCATGTACATGTGCAACATATTCATACATATTCAGTGTGCGCACAGATGGAAGTACATACACATGGAGACCGTTGAGGTACACTGGACACACTGATACCAAATATGCAGAGCTCACTCACACAGGCTAAAATAAGAAAAGAAAAACAATACGTTCTCATCATTTTTATCACATCATTATTTCTGATGTGATCAGGCCTGTGAGTTGAACTTTGGAGCAAATTGGTACATTTCTAACCATGTTGACTGATATTGTTCTCAGCACTTCATAGGTTTACACCGATTAAGTATAACATTATGACTTCCTGCCTAATATTGTTTTGGTCCCTTTTGCTGCCAAAGCAGCCCTGACCTGGACTCCACATGACCCTTGAAGGTGTGCTGTGGTATCTGCACCAAGATCTCAGCAACAGATATTTTAAGTCCTTTAAGATGCGAGAAGGGGCCTCCATGGATCAGACTTCTTTGTCCAGCACATCCCACGAATTTAGATCTAGCGAATTTGGAGGCCAAGTCAATACCTCAAACTCGTTGTTACGCTCCTCAAACCATTCCTGAAGCATTTTTGGCAAGGTGCATTGTCCTGTTGAACGAGGCCACAGCTATCAGGGAATATCTTTTCCATGAAAAGGTGTACATGGTTTGCAACAATGCTTAGGTAGGTGGTATGTGTCAAAGTAACGTCCATATGGATGACAGGGCCCAGCATGCACAGCAGCCTCTGCTGACATCTTACCAGGTAAGCAACACACACCCGGCCATCCATGTGATTTGAAAGACAAAATGATTAATCAGACCATGCCACCTTCTTCCATTGCTCTGTGGCCCAGTTCTAATCTTTGGTGGTGCTTTCGTCAGTGGATAGGTGTCTGCATATGCAGCCCCATACACAACAAACTGTGATGCTCTGTGTATTCTGACACCGTTCTGTCAGGACCAGCATTCACTTTTTGGGGCAATTTAAGCTACAGTAGCTAATCTGTTGTATCTGACAACACTGGCCTTCACTTCCCACATGCATCGATGAGTCTTGGCCACCCATGAGCCTGTTGCTGGTTCACCACTGTTCCTTCCTTGGACTTACTGACCACTGCAGACCAGGAGCACCCCGCAAGAGCTACAGTTTTGGAGACGCTCTAACCCAGTCTAGTTTGGCCCTTTTCAAACTGGCTCAAATTCTTATGCTTGCCCATTTTCCTGTTTCTAAGCTCTCCTCAATTTTGAGGACCACATGTTCACTTACTCCCTGATATATCCCACCACTAACAGATGGCATGATGACGAGATAATCTCTGTTATTCACTTTACCTAACAGTAGGGATAATGTTATGCCCGATTTGTGTAAAGAAGTTTTAGGCTGCCATTAAAAACAAAAACCCTAAAGAAAAAATCTCCTTGACCCTTTTTCTTTTTCTCTCTTACATTTCACTTTTCTATCTGCTCTTCCCTTCTCTTTGTGTTTCTACTCACATAACTACCCATAACTTCACTTTTTATATTCCTTCTCCCATTTTTCCCTTTCCATCCTTTTCCTCTCCCCTGCAGGAGGAGACAGAGCCCTACTTCATAGCCATCTTCTGTTTCGAGTCTGGAATAAAGATCCTGGCTCTCGGTTTTGCGTTACATAAGGGCTCCTACCTGAGGAACGGCTGGAACGTCATGGACTTTGTAGTTGTCCTCACCGGGTGAGTCCACAGCTCTCGTTTTAGTTTTGGATTTATTTTAGCGATGTTCTTCTAAGTGGGGTTAAGATGAGGTTTTATTTTCTTGTCTGTGTTTGTGCCTGTTTGTGTTTATAGTGGTTAGTGGTTCCTAATGTGTACATGCTTTTGGACACTGAAATGTGTAGGCTGTGTTTCCATGGCTACCCATTTCACTCGAGTTCCAAGTTTGGTGGGGTATCGCATGGTGAGGCTTTGTTAAAATTTGTTCCTCTGGAGTGAATAATTTGGGATATTTGTGTGGGGATTCATACATCTGTAATTAGCCTAAAGTGGACATTTGTCCTGCTGTAATTTTCCTTCAGTTTAATTTCTGCTTGGGCATTTATCACAAACATAAACATTTCAGCTTTAAAAAAACAGCAGTGGGTCCACATAACGACACTAGTGTCAGCCAATTTCTCTTCATTTTCTAACCTGATGGCTGAGGCTAGATTTACAGTTAGGACAGAAAATGTTGAAATATTGTCTCTGCCAAGCGTTATAACTGAATTTCCAGGTTGTTACATTCAGCTTCCATCTTGAGTCTGACACTCCTCTGCTCTAACTGATTTCATTCAGGCAGGAATTCGATTTTCCCAAATCAATCACTAGAGACCAATATATGCTCTTAAATCTCTTAAGGTTCACCACGTTTTTCCATTTATGTATTATAGCCATTCCTCAGGAGTGCCAGAATAAACAGTCGTGCATCATTAGATAATTGCTTTAGTCATACCCATGGCGCTGACTGACTAGTCATTGATCCTTCTGCAGCGGTCAATGGACAGGTTGTTCCTCAGCTGAGAAACTGGAGTTTCATGTCACAGTGCGAGATGAATCAGTCCGCCCAGTCAGATGGAATATGTCAAAGGTCTGGACCTAGACAGGTTTCTGCAAAAGGAAGCTGTGAGCAGCTCATTTAACTCCATTGGAGTCCACATAGAAAATGCATTTTTTTTATGGATAGTCAAACTCAAGGAGAACTAGAACCAATGACATGCCAGCTTACTACCCGACTTGGACTTAATTGTAAGCTGTTCATATGACTGCACATTTTAGTGTCCTGCAATGGTATGCATGTTTAATAGGGGACACGAATGGAGGCAAACAAAATATATCAAAGAGGGTCCATCACACTTACCTCTAGCTCCATATTGTTATTCTTGGACTCTATGAATGGAGTCATTCTGTATGGTTTATAGTTTATGGTTCAAAAGAATACTATTTGATTTTATAATGGATCTTCGAGCAGCCCTTCAGTTCATCTTCTCTCCACAACAAGATGTTTTAGCTTTTTTCTCAATTCCCTTAAAGAAACTTTCTTCTGATTTGATCCCCCTCCCCACAAAAAATATTCAGACATGTGAATGGGTGGACCTTGTTTGCTCATAGCCAGAGCTCAGTGCCTGAGATGACCATATTTGTGATATTCTATGACATCATAAATATCCAAGAGTAAAGAAGCCTGAATACTGGCTCTTAACCACGGATGACAAAAATACAAGGCGAGGCACAAGGAGACAAACTTTGAACAAGGTAGAGCAGGAGCTGGTAAAGAGACTATCAGACTAAGTAATGAGGGGTATAAGTACAGAAGGAGTTAACAAAGTGAAATCATAGATTGTTGAGCAGACAAAGGTGGGAAATTAAACAACAGAAGTTTACCACAATGAAACAGGATGTGTCTAAAGCCACAGTTACAACTAATGTGGTGGTTAGTACTCCCTCAATCTGTGACATCAACACACTCCCATTAACCATTTATACTGGCACTTGAGGTGTGCTGGACTCACTGCAATCTTCTAAATAAAACAACAAAACAAAAACCACTGTATCGGTGCTGATATGGGAATAGATGTTGAAACAGGAAACACCAATCACAGTATTGTTTTACGTAACATTTCATCTTTACTGACTGTAACATGTCAGAATCTCTGCTCCTGCAGCAGTATATCATTGAAATGCCAGTGAACAGCCCTGCTCATATTGTCATGTCTCCAACCCAGCTGCATTGTCTTTACATATATGCCAGCAAGTGGCATGAGTAGTCATGTGGTTGCCAGGTGATCTAAATATGGCTGCCTAAACCATAGTGGGTGGGTGGGGGGTACAGATGATAAGAAGATGTCGAGAGGAGAAATAGGCAAATAACAGATACACATATACATACACACACTTATTTCGGTGATAGTGTAACAATATTACAGACAACACATCATCAATAATTTTTAGATGAATCCTTACTCAGTCTGTTTGTGTGTTTGCATCAAGTAGCTTGACTTTGTGTCTTTTCTAATCTCAAACACACTCACACAGACTCAGCAGAGGTCTGGTTTGACAAGGTGTGTGTGTGTGTGTGTGTTTGTGATCAGGGCCACTCCTCCTCAGTCACTCTTCCTTTAATGAGGACACATACACACATACACATACACAGGCTGGATCAGAGCGTCCCTGCAGGGAGCAGCAACCAGGGCAAAGTGAAATGTCACTTCTGCAAGAGATGGGGGAGCTGGTTTGTTGTTATGGCAATAGCCAACAGAGTGGTAACATAGTTTTCTGCATCCTTCTTTCTCTTTTCTTCTGCTATTCTATCTGTATTTAGTTAGCTGAAAGCGCTAGTTGCTGAAGCTAAAACAAGAAGTAGAGAAAATCCCAGCTGGATTTAACTAGAGCTTTAAACTGGTGGCCTTTTACTGCTTGAGGTAGTGTTGTTAGCCCTTCCGCTTTACCCCCATCATCATGTCACTCAGCTTTACAAGATGTTAACTGATGCCATGGGAGCTAAACAGGCAAGCATAAATCGCAGCCAGTCCTCAAGTAAGGTGTGTTCACATGTAGTGATGTTTTTATCACCTCTGCTACCACATAGTGTCTCCAGAGAACTGATGACAAGCCACTCACAATGCAATACTTTTTCAGAAAGTAGCATACTGTAGTTTCTTTTGTTTATCTTTGGCAGATCACAACCAAACTGTCCTGCTGTAGAGCATCATATTAGAGGTCTCTGGGTTTGTAAGGGAATGGAAATACAGGTCCCATCTAATGGGTTCCCTAAATTTTCTTTTCTTAGAGGAAAAAAAGAGAATTCTAAAAAAGCAGTAAGGAAAATTATAACATTTATTGGGTTTAAGGGGTATTATAGATATGCTGGAATAACACAGGGGATTTACAGCGTAGTGGATTCACCTACTGATGAGCAGCACATCAGGTTGTTCTTCAACTGTATTCCCTGAAAAAAAAAATTTAATGGTTTCGGACTGGGAATACACTCAGTGTGATTTGCTGGGGGGCAGTCTACATGTTCTTGCCTCTGCTGAATTATTTTTACCCCTGGTGGAGATAAATTTCTCCCCAAGTGATTTTTTCTAGAGTGTGAACAACAATAACATCACAAATGGACTTTCACTGACTTTCCTTTGACAGTTAAGCTCAAATGGCAAATGGGAGCTAGCTTGAGCCATACCTAACTTTTCATTATGCCACTGAGCACAAATAGATTGTCCCACCATAGAAATTGCAGCTAGATGATTGAAAGAAAACGACAAATGTTCATATTTTACAGCACCATCAAAATCCTAGAAATATAATTACTGAGTCTTAGTCTTAACCAGACACCTGATAGTCATCATCAGTCAATTATTTCCCCATGAAGGTGATACGTAAAAGATGGACATCATGTAGGGCTGCTACTTATGACATTCTGCTAAGCCTTATATGAAGAGCATTTCAGTAGTACTGTACTGTATTGATGGCTTATTGGCCTTGCCACTGATGGCGAAGCTTTACAGAAGAGCAACCACCCTGGTAACTTTCATTTAAAGCATGAGTCACAAGTTAGAACTTTTTGTCTGGGATGATCTAAAAAACAGTAAAAGGCAGGAGTCATTTTACGATACAGTCTAATGATTTACTTTGTGTAGTTGTTTTGTTTTTTTCAAATTCCAAAAGCTTGCTATTTTTCTCAGTATATGGACTAGGGGTTGCTTCCTTCCCTGTTCAGTCTTTTGTGCAAGATTTGCACAGATGAACCCTTCACAGAGGTCTGTCACTAAAATAGATAATTTTGTTAGTGTGACAAGGATCCATCCATCCATCCATTTGATACTGCTCATCCAGGCAGCAGCCTAAGCAGAGAAGCCCAGACCTGCCTCTCCCCAGCCACCTCTTCCAGTTGATTCAGCGAAACACTGAAGCCTTCCTAGGCCAGTGGAGAGACATAATCTCTCCAGCATGTCCTGAGTCTGCCCCAGGGTATCCTCCTAATAGGCCATACCCAGAACCCCTAACCCAGGAGGCACCTTGGTGGCATCCTAATCAGATGTTCGAACCACCTCAACTGTCTCCTTTTGATGTGCAGGGAGTAGCAGCTCTACTCTGAGTTCCTTCCTAATAACTGAACGTCTCATCGTATCGCTAAGGCTGAGTCCAGCCAACCTTCAGAGAAAACAAATTTCTCTTGATTTATCCACAACAGTATTCTTTTGGTCATTACCCAAACCATGTGACCATAGGTAAGGGTAGGGACATAGATCGGCCGGTAAATCACCAGATTTCCTTATATAATCAGCTCTCTCTTCACCATGACAGCCTGGTACAGTGTCAGCATCATTCCAGATGCTGCACTAATCCAACTGTCAATCCCCCAATCCACTTGCCCGTCATTTTTGAACAAGACTCCGAGATACATGGAGTCCTCCACTTTGGTAAGCAACAGCAACTCATCCCTGACCCGGAGTGGGGTACACCACATTTTCCAGCTGAGGATGATGGCCTCGGACAGATTCTCATTCCTGCTGCTTCACACTTGGCTGCAAAACACTCCAGTGTAAGCTGAAAGCCACCATCTGATGAAGCCAACAGAATTATGTTATCTGCAAAAATCTGAGACAAAATCCTTAGGCCACTAAAGTGGAAGCCTTCTGCCACCTGGCTGCGCCTAGAAATGAACACAATTTTTGGGCAGCCCTGGCAAAGTCCAACAC